AGGAGGATGAGGCCGAGGCCGGCCGCCGATGTCCATCCACCCGAGCTCGACGGTGTCGTGCCAGACGCCGCCAATGCTTCGAACGCCGGCGCCGCCTGCGACGTGATGTAGGCGAGGAGCCCGCCCATGGACATTTGCCAGAAGCGACAGAGCGGCATGTAGAACGACACCTTGTTGTCCCGGTACCCGAGGAAGGCAATGTTGATGGCAAAGCTAAAGGCCATGAAAGCCACTTGGAGGATGATCGCGCGCTTGTACGAGAGCTTCATGATAATCGCGCAGAAGCACGGCCAGAGAATGTAGAACTGCTCTTCGACGCCGAGCGACCAGAGATGCAGCACCGGGTTCGCGCCCAAGTCAAAGTACGCCTTCTCCAGCGAGAGCACTTGGAGGTTGGCGGCAAAGAGTGTGCCGGCAAACATCGTCGCCGCCATGAGCTTGAGCTTGGGCGCCATGAGGTAGAGGTACCCGAGCCAGAGCGTCGCGCCCAGCACGATGATGAGCGTCGGGAAGATGCGGCGGACGCGGCGCTCGTAGAAGCTCGCGTACGTAAACTTGCCTCGCTTGTGCTCCTTGAAGAGGATGCCGGAAATGAGAAAGCCAGAGATGACGAAGAAGATGTCGACGCCAATGAAGCCGCCGGGAAAGAGCTTCGGGTACGCGTGGAAGACGAGGACGGGGACCACCGCGAGCGTCCGAAGACCGTCAATGTCGGGCCGGTACGTATGGCTTGGTGCTGGCGGCGCGTGGTCGTGGGCAGCCTCGATCACCGACGTCGCGTGGTCCACGTCGACGGCCAGCGGCGCGAGGTCCGAGAGGAGGACACCGTCGTCGAGCTCCCTGTCGAGCTCGTCCGCGTTGGACACGCGCTTGTGGACGTCGGCCATACTTGGCGAATGAAGATGCGGAGGAAAAGGGGGATGTTACGCACTTCCCTATCCTGCTGGTCATGTCATTGGGCAGACGATAGCAGCTGGTTTGGCTCCAGCGCCAACGAACACGTGGGCTACGGAAGAGACGCCGGCGTTGGGTGGAAGACTGGCCTGCTCTCGACCACTCGAGGCCACTGCGAGTGGCTTCAGTCGACCAGCGTGAGTAAGAGAGACATTATTCGTGGCAAGTCTTGGCAAGCTCTCCATGCGGCTGAGGACGACGACGCTGGTTACGTCACCAGATGGGTACCCTCGGTCACCAGCTCGATCTCAGAAGGGTGATGCAACTTGTCTCGGTGATCGAAGGCAAGACTGCTCATTTGGTTGTCATCGCACACCGTGGGCAGCAATTGCACAAGATTGTGCGTGAGCTTCGCAATACCAATGCCTTGAACACGTCAATGGCCCTTGGCTGGGTAGAGGCAGCTCAGAAGTGCATTGATTTGGATACGTACTAGTATATATCTACCGGGATCTATCTATCTATCTATCTATCTATCTATCTATCTATCTATCTATCTATCTATCGCTATATATATCTAATCAATACGACTATCTAGCCGCAGAGATCTAGCCGACTCGGGTTCACAGAAGACAATAGAGCTGCCCAGAGGCACCGACCCTCCTTTTCGCGGCGGCAACAGTCGCATTTTCATGCACAGCAGGAGGACGATGCGAATTTCCACCAGGATCGAAATCGCAGCAAACAGAGCGGTCCTTCCAACTCCCTGAAATCGACACTTTGCATTCCTCGTGCGTTGAATAGCTCGTTTGGTGGTTCATGTCTACCCTGTCCAACAGCTCTATTCCACGCTTTCTGGACACGATGCGCGTTCACTTTACTGGTACCACGGCGGCAATTGCGCGCGGCCACCGAATGGTGTTCTAGTACGTTGGCCAATGAGGTCGTTGTTGGTCTATCGCGATGCACCCGTCGTACCACCCGCAGGGGTCTGCGTGCAGTAGAACCCCCATCAACCCAAACTCAGTGCCGGTACTTGCACTCGTTCCTACTTGTGCAAAAGATTCACATTTTATGTAGTCAACTGCAATGACATGCAGCGTTTCAGCCCAGGGAGCCCAGGGGAATTGCAACCGGAATCAATACAATTGTAGCGCCTTCTTGCGCAACTATTATCTCAGTTTCAGTATGCAATACAATACCAGAAAGGAAAAGGGCGGCCGGATACGGCCTCGGCCTAGGGTACAATAGGGTGTAGCCGTTGGATACGGCATGCGCTAACCGGCGTCAAGTTGCCTGACGTAAATTGATCAATAAGTTATCGACGACGTGCGTCTGACTACAATTGTAGCACCAGCGCGCATATCGACGCCCTGTGCAACGACATCACTGGGTTCAACCGCTGCGCCTGACGTCACCGCGGCCGCGACGCCCGTGCAGACTGTCAAGATGCAGATGGCACCGAGTCGACCACCTTTTGTCCAGTCGGTGGATTCCTGCCTCACATGCAGGAGGTGCGAGGTTCGAGCCCCGTATGTGTTGTCCCTATCTTCTCTTTCCCATTGGCGTTGGCATCGGAACCATCAAGGCACAGCTTGACACATACCATGCGCGAGCAGTTCGACGCCACATGGAACGACCACAACAACGCGCGCAAGGCCGTCTTTGAGGTTAGCACCAAGGCCGTCGAGGACGAGCCCGAGAACGCCGAGCTGCTCTGGCGCCTCGCCCGCGCCAACTACAAGTACGCGATCGAGAAGGCGGTCTCCGAGGAGCTCAAGAAGAAGCTGACGTACGAGCGCCTCGACATTGCCAACAAGGCCCTCAGCCTCGCGCCCGAGAGCGGCGACTGCCACAAGTGGTACGCTCTCCGATCCCACCACATCCTTTCTCATCGATAACGATAGGGTTGGTATCTCGACGTCCGAAGTCAACGAATACGAGAGCGTCATCACCAAGCTCAACAGCGCCATGACGATCCGCGATCACTTTATGAAGGCGAGCGAGCTCAGCACGACCGACCCGATGGCGTCGCACTTGCTCGGCCGCTGTACGTTGTGCATGTGTCGGTGCCACTTAGCTCATGCGTGGAGTAGGGTGCTTCCGCGTCAGCGACATGTCGTGGGTCGAGCGTGCGGCGGCGCGTGGCCTCGCGGGCCACCTCGCGCCGCACTCGTCGTTTGAGGACGCGCTCGCCAACTTTCTCAAGTCGGAGGAGATGAGCCCGGGCCACCTCAAGATGAACACGTGGTACATTGTGCAGACGTACGCCAAGCTCAAGCACAAGAAGGAGGCCAAGGAGTGGGCGGCCAAGGTCGTCGCGATGCCCAACCTCCTCGACGAAGACCACGACATTGATGCGCTCGCAAAGGCGTGTGTCTACCACGACTGGCGTGCCCTAGCCAAGCATGTGGTCAAGGTTGCGTCGCAATAAGAGGTTGAGTTGTTGAAATGAGTTCTCGCAATAAGTGGTCAGTAGCTTTGTGTACTGCAGTGGCTGTACGCATTGGCTACCCACAGAGATGCCACTGTTGTCTTCAGCCATCTGAGCGATATGAAAGTAAACGACTTCAAGAGACTAGTGGATGAACGCTGCTTCGAACAACCTGTAGTACAGACCGTTGCTGCGGGTTTGACGATGCGCCGTCGCGGTGCAATGCACTGTTATAACCCTAGTACAATGAAACTATGAAAGACCGTTAATTCTACAACTGGGACCGGTGTAGCGAAAAGTAGTAAGAGCATGGGACACGACGCCGTGCACCAAGATCGCCACGCTGGGCAAGTCCGGATACTGCGCTGCGCACAGCCTGCCAGCCCAGAATCGTCCGGATAATGCAATCGATTGCAACGGGCTCGTGCTGCCATTCTCCAACAAGCCATGCAAGTGCCGGACGACGTCAAGACGGCGCAGAAGCGCATTGCCGCCAAGACGTACTACGCTGCCAACAAGGAGAAGATTGCGGCTAAGAGGAAGGCGAACGCCGCTGCCTACGCAGAAAAAGACCGGGCCCGACAGAAGAAGTACACGGCTGCCAAAAAGGAAGAGCTCGCAGCGAAGAGCAGAACGTACTACGAGAAGAACCGCGCACAAGTGTTGGTGCAGAAGAAGCAGTACCACGAAAAGAACAAGGAAGTCCGCCTGGCCAAGAAAAATGCGTGGTATATGGCGACGCGGGCGTACCAAAATGCCTACGACCGAGCTCGGTACCATGTCCTGCGTTTGAACTGAGTGGTGTTCTCATGTCTTTTCCTAGTCGGGCGCGAAAGAAGGCGATTGCGGCCGGCGAGATTCCACCGCCAAAGCCCAAACTCGCCGACTTCCGAGCGCAACACAACGCCTCTGGCAGCGTCGCGCCGGCTGCGTCGACGGATGCGGCTCCAGACGACCTCCTTGACGAAGACGACGACAACGTTTCCCACCCTTTGGCTGCGACCACCAAGAAGGTTGTCATGGTCAGCTTCACGGACGAGCATCCGTTCAACATGCGCAAGCGCGGGCCCGAGCCGTGCTGCGACGAGTGTGCGCTCTTCCAGCCCAATGCGCTCACGTCGGCGACCAACACGGTGCTCTTGGCGGGCACGTACATGTGCACGTTCTGCCGCGACTGGACCTACTATCGTCTCCACCGCAAGCACAAGCGCACCCGCGCCGACGCCCGCCTCGACGCTCTCACGACCTGAGCTTGCATTTCTTTGTATTTTGCATAATGAAAAGTGTGTTTTATCGCTCGAGTACTGCTTTGTACGTACATCGCGAGCAGCATTCTATCGGAATAGAGTCTTCAGTCATGTCCAAGGACAACTCGCAGCAGCGTCGATGTCTGTGTGAAAAGTCAATCAAGCAAATTAGGTTCAACGTCCGATAGCAACGAAGCCTATCAGTGCTGCTTCGAATCGGAGGAGCCATGTCGACTACCATGCTGTCGCGCTCCTCAAGCCCACGAGGCATGCAACATTTAAACCCCGTGGGTCGCATGCAAGAGCCAAATTCAGTGGAAGACACGCGCGAGGTTCATTGGAGGTCGCCGCTATTACAATCGGAGATTCACACAGCACATTGCAGCAAGTCTAGTCCTTGTACTGGAACACGGTCGCCTGTCGACTCAATGAGCCACGTCGAGCGTCGCCTTGGCCTGGAGGTCCTCCTTCGTCTCGAGAAAGAGCAGCGGCGCCATGCCAAGCATGCAGCCAATCACGACGCCAATCGTGCAGCCTGTGTAGTGTGCGACGCGCGTCACGCGCATGTCGAGCTGCTCCTTGAGCAGCTTGGGGTCGGCGAGGCCCATGCGGGCGGCGCAATCTTCGATGACGCCACCGAGGCCAATGCCAGCGACATCACTAGCACATCCATGAGCCGTCTCGCGTGTTGCACTATCGTCGGTACCTGATCGTGTTGCCAATACCGGCCGCGGCCATGGTCGAGATCCCGAGCGAGACGCCGAGCGTCGTGTCAATGTAGTCGCCGGCGATGATCAAGATGAAGTTGTCGACAAAGCCAAAGCCAATGAACGGTACCATGCTGCGCACCATGACCTGGCGCAGCTGGGCCTTGGACGGCGGCGGCACCGCGACCGTGGTCGCCGGCAGCAGCGCCTGTATCCGTGCGACCGTGCCAGCGTCGATCGCCTGCGCCATGAGCGACAGCTCGTGGTCCGTGGCCTGGGCGAGGCGCTGCAGCACCGCCCGGTTGGCGTCCGCAGAGGACGTCGTCGTCGTCGAGGCTGCCCGCGCCAGGCGCGACGCGACGCCCGAAAGCCGTGGGTTCCGCCACAACATGGAAATGGCGTGTGACGTGAGGTGCGCGCACCTCAGATTCGCGTATGCCCTCTGGAAGGCAACTCCACCTGCCGTCGTGCAGCCTTTTATTACAAATCCACTTGCGCATTAGCATGGAAAAGAGGCAAAAGGTCATATGGGTGCAGCGAGTTCGTCTCGCGAGAAGCGTGGAGGGGCTCACTTATCAACGCGTCCTCGCAAGGCAGCGTCTCGACACTCGACGAATCCCAGGTACGCGCACCTGGACGCGCATTGAGTCAACAGTACCGGATAATGCGTATCCGGAATCACCCGCGAAACCGAAGTCCATGCTTGATGTTTGTCGCCAGCGACCGCGGCCAGGACAGGGACGTGAACCAGCTCCGAGCCGCCCCAAAGGTACGCCGTCCGCGCAGCGCCACGTGTGCCATCGCTCGCCGTAGCCACCCGGAAGCTCGGCCAAAGTCGTGCCCGTGGCGGCCAAGCGTAGCCTCTATGACGACATGGACGTCGACGAGGACGCCGACGGCTTTGTCGCATCGTACGCTGCATGGCGCCATCCGCTCTATCGCTCACGGGCACTTGTAGTACACCTGTGCAAGGCTTCAACACGGTGCCGGCCTCCGACTGGGCGTCGCTGGACGCGGAGCTTGCGTCTGTGCTCGCCGACCCGACATCGACGACCAAGCAGCGACCAACGGCGGCCAGGGTCAGAAACGACGACGACGACGATGTTGTCGACGGCTTTGTCAACGACAACCCCGACTACGTACGTCAGCGGCTCGAAAAGAAGGTGCAGCTCTACGCTGCCCACATCGAGGCGATGAAGAGTCGCATGGAAAAGTGGCGAGAGCACAAGGTCATCGTCTCACCTCCCGCAACAAGATCGAATGAATGTCGGAGTAGACAGCGTTTGTGGCCCATATTCACAAGCTGGAAGAGCGCTTGAAGGAGCAGACTGAGGCGTTCGCCAAGGCCGAGGCGGCCTGGGAAGACGAAGCGATGAGCCTCGCGAAAGCCCGACGCTCCAATAAACCCAACTATGCTCTTGGTGGCAGCGCAATGCAAGGCCAGCATCAAATGGACCGAGAGCGGTCGAAAGAAGCGGTGCGGCAGCTGCTGCATGGCGCCGCCGACGTTGCCGCGGACGACGACGACGACGACGATCTCATCAACGCGACGGGGCGGTCGTGGCACCAGCGTCTGCTCGCGATCGCCCGGCGGCTCGTGCCACTCAGCCACGACATCAAGCAGATCCAGGCGCGCTACGGCCACTCGGTGGCAGCGTACTTTGTGTTTTGCCGCTGGGTGCTCCTCAACTACTTGATCTTGTCGTTGCCGTCACTGTACTTTCTCATATTGCACATTGCCGAGCTCCTGGACACGGTACGCGCTCACGATGCAATATGTATTGCGACAATGCCACCTAGCACTATACGTCGTGGAGTACGTTTACGGGCTTGATGCCCAACTGCCTCTTGTTCCCGAGCTACACGACGAACGAAGCGTTTGCATACAGCGTGAGACGAGAACGGCGTGGGCTCGTCAGCTGACGAAGCAGTAGATCTACCTGGGTGGCACCAGCAGTCTCTTCCTCCTCATATCCACCTACAAGTGGCTCCAAGAAGACCGCTACGCCAAGCTACGTCACGCGGCCGAGGCCGGACGACCGTCAACGTTTGGCAAGCTCCTCTTGAATGCGTGGGACTTTGAAGCAACGACGAAAGACGTACGACACGAATGTCAGAAATAGAACGCTCGGACACGAATAGGACGTCTCGGACCTGCGCAAGAGTCTCTGGGACAGCTTGCACGTCGCCTTGTACGACGACATCAAGCAAGCGGAAATCCGAAATCGCACCAAGTACCCCGTCATCGATTTGATCGATACCTCTGGAATGTGGCTCTGTAGACGGGAACGCTATACGCTATATGCGCGTCGGGCCGCTGCGTTTCTTATTTATGTCGCGGTTCAAGGCATTTCGTGGGGACTCATCGGTCTCCTCACGGTTGAGGCGTCGTCCTTTGCACAGCTCATCAAAGCCAACGTGCCCGCGCTCCAAGCGTACGCGGCGAGGTGCGTTTTCCGGTCGACAGGTTCATCGACAACTTGTGCATCATTAGTATCGTGCCAATTGGTGTCAGCGTCATCAATGGCGTGCTCCCCAAGATCCTTGGTGTCCTGACCAACTTTGAGCGCTGGGACGACAACGGGTTTCGCATCAAGGCCATGGTCACGCGCCTCTTCTTGGCCCAACTCCTCAACATTCTGCTGCAGCTCTGGTCGTACGCGATGCTATTGGACCCGTACTTGAGCACCTCGTCGGAACAGCCCATCGCGTGGCTGCCCTTTGCCTACGAGATTCGCAGCAACGTCATGCAAAAGTTCAAACCGGATGTCTATGCGTGCCGGGCCGAGCAGGTCGCGTCCGGTCTCGTCGTGCTCGTCGTGACCAATTTTGTGACGCCCAAAGTCACTGCCTTGACAGTATCAGCCATCTTTGGGCTGCTAAGGCTCGTCAAGCGTCTTCGCGCCAAGCGGAAAGGCATCGAGTTGCCGGCCACGGACCATCGGAGTGAATTTCTGATCGCGCCCACCATGGTCGCGCTCATGTCGTCTTGTACATTATACGCGTTTGCCATCCCACTCTGTCCGTCGGCGGGTCTTATCACGGTTTTACTGCTCACGCTCAGCTTCAAGTTTGAAAAACTCTATCTCCAGGTCGCCAATGGGTCACTTTTTTGGATGACGTTTGAGCGATGGACTAGACGTTTATGAAGAAACCGATGGCGCCGTGGAGTGCCAAGAATGCGGGCGTCTTCTTCATCAAGCTCTACTGGTGCACGGTCGCTGTGTACACCACCGGCATGTACTGGTTCCTCACGAATGCCCACTTGCCGAAACACTGCGATTTACAAGTGCGCGATGCTCCGTTTCTCTGCAGCACTTATGCACCGGCCACGCAAACGTGCGTCTTGAACACGACCCACCCGATGGTAGGTGCAAGTCCTTTTGCTGTCAGCTTGGGTCGGGACGTGGGTAGAGCTTCTTTTTTGAAACGAGCCCGACCAACGAGTGCAGTGCCAAGTATCCGGGCTGCGTGTGTGCAACCGCCTGCGGACCGTTTATCAACAGCACGACCGGCTATAGCCCCGTCCTCGACGTACAATATTCTCCTATAGGTGCAGGTCGATGAGAAGTGGCTAGCTGGTTCTCTCGACGGACGGGGTCGGGTTGTTTGCCAACCTCGCCACAACAGGCGTGACGCTCTTGTGGGCGGCCATTGTGCTCCTGCTGATGCAAGTTGGTCTCAAAGCCAACTCGATCGAGGCGACGCAAGTACGCACATCGATCCCCACGGACGTTTTGTGGACTTGTCGTAGCTTGCTGGACAGGTACAAGACCAAGAAGCCAGAGCCATGATCGCTGCCCTTCTCAAGAAGGTCGCTGCCCAAGACAAGAAACTTAAACTTCAAAAGCTGTAAAGGACAAAGGATGCACACGGCAATCTTTACAAACGAACCAATGTCGTACTTCTCGTCGTCTTGTGGTGTCAAGGCGTTCAGAGCGCGCCCCGGACAGTGTTTTTGAATAAATCATGATGCTTCTGATGCAAAAGATTCCCTTGCTCTCCCGCCCTAGGGCTCAAAAGACCAAGTCGCTAGACGCTTTGAGCAAGCAGCTGGTACTGCCTGGCATTCCGAGGGCTCTTGCATTGAGCACTCGTTTGTTGCTGATGCACAAGTTGTAACAAGCAAACACGACAATTATGCGAGCCGATATTGTCCTACTATAGGTAACGTAACAATGAGTGGTTTATGTATATGTTTAAATTGTAGCTACTGAGGTGACGTGTGCACTCTGACGTGGTGCCGAGCGATGCGCGTAAGCAGCACATCCAGCGAGTCGTCGAGGTCCACGTCGACCGACGGGTGTAGCAAGTCGGCGTAGAGGCCACTGCTTGCAGGCTCGATATGGACGACCTCGTTCTCGACCGATGCGTTGCGAGGGACTTGGCTGCCAGGCGCGTACAGCTCCACGTCGGCATGGACGCCAAAGTGCGTGGATGGTGCCACTGGACCAGACTCCTGGTCGAACCAGTGTTGCATGGTGTCGGGCTCGAGCGTAGGCCAGTCGGCCAAATCGATCTCGTCGAGGGTATCCTGGAGGTCGGGGCTGTTCAAGAAGAACGTCTCAAACAAGTTGTCGGCAACGATCGTTGAATCGTTGGCATCGCAAGCGCCAGTCTTCAAGGCTTCTTGCACGTCTCGATGACGCGCCTTCTTGGCCGAGCCGGGGCGACCGGGATTCGATCGAGGCGTGTAGGTCGCAAGAGTCTTGAGGTAGTTCTCCACATCCACCACCGAGCGCATGGGCTGTTCAATGCCGTGCTTTTCACCCACGCTGCGCGCAATGTCTGGGAATTGACGTAGCAGGGCGTTGAGGTCGTCCGTGATGCGCTTCTGGTTGTGGCCCGCGATGCACCCGTCCTCAATCACTTTTCGCTCCGCAGGTTCAAACGCGCTATGTAATACATCATGAGCTACCCAGCAGACCAAAATGGATCTCTACCTGCGCACGAGGCGGTCGCACGCGTACTTGTAGTAGTGATCGCGCAGGTTCTTGGTGCTAATGTGCAGGCGTGGGTCCTTGGAGATGAAGATCATGAAGCGAACCTGCGGTGCATGGTGCGCTTGATAGAGTCCCAATCAATGTCACCGTGCCCGAAGCGCGAAGCCAAGTCGCGAAGTCGCTTGGTCTCGTCATCGGTATATTTGCCGATGATAAGACCCGGCTCGAGCGTGCGGTACCAGCGCTGGTAGAGCTGATCGCGCTTGACACTTGGAAAGAAAAGGCGTACGAGCTTTGTGACCGCCTACGAGTTGCATCGTGATCCAGCAGCTCCGCATGCAATGACGAAGTACCTCCCAGTCGATGGGCCGGTAATGAAAGAAGACGCGCTTGTCGACACGGCAGTTGGCTTCAATCAACGCCGTCAGCAGCTCGTCCCACGTCTCGTCGTGGCGGGCTACGTAGTGCAGAGCACAAAACGCATACGTGCTGTGGAGCAGGCCGGTTCGCATCGTCGTCGCAACTTTGAAAATGGCGATCGTCGCTCCTTGGGGTGGGTACATCGGGTTTTGGAGGTGCGAGGTATGCGAATCGAGAGGTTCGCTCGTTTGGGATGCCTTGCGCAGGACGTATAGCACTGGGATGGGTTCATCTCGATGGAACAGTTCAATTTGGATAGGGCCGTGCTGTCGAGACGGCGTGCATGAGCTCGCAGAAGGGTACAATATGCGCGTCCACGCTGGATTCCATGGGATTTGTCCGCTTGATACATCGATGCAGAACACTGCTGAAAGATTAAATGCCACGGGTTTTAAAATTTTCACATCCGTGCGCGGCGGCCAAATACATACAAACGTCAGTATATACATCCCTGCACACCTTCAGGTCCAACCTTGATACTTTGAAATGCTGAAACTATCGAGTTATAGAGTGCCACGGTGGCTCCGACAAACGAGCTGGGCTGTGAGCATTTCCCGTGGCACCCACAGCACAAGGCTCATCGACGCAGTAGTGGTGTGTGCGGTGCTTAAATCCATGCTTCCAGGCTCCTTCCAGGTGACACTCTGGCAAAGGCTGCTGGAAAATATGCTCACTCGCGGATTGGGATCTTGTCTGCGACCAAGGATTGCCTTGCTACTCTGCTCTAAGCTCAAGGTTGATACAGATCCTATCATTACGATGTCGCTCATGTCGACGTGGCGTCCGAGGACGAGACCGACTCATGAATGGCGTGCGCGACCGCCTGAATCCAGCTGTCGAGGGCTTGGGCGTTCTCGGTGAAGAGGAGCATCGAGAGGTTCGTGTCCAAGACGACCTCAAAGCAGTTGGGCTTGTGGTACGGCCGCACGACCGTCGACTTGGTCAAGAGGTACTTGACCGGGGCGTCTTTCGGTGACTTTTGGATGCACAGTTCGCGGTCTAGTCATAATTTTACATGAGGAAAACCACACAAATATTGTCTGCCCTACCTGTGAGGGACACGAGCCGACGCAGTCCGATCGGATTCACAAACGGCTTGTGCTTGACGAGACGCATGAGGAGGTACTCTTGCATGACGACATTGCGCAGAGCCGCGACGGCCTTGGCTTTTTCCGGCGCATGATCTTGCCGAGCGTCTTCTTGGTTGGGCTCTCATCGACCGAGGACGCCGACGACTCGCTGTCTTCGTCCGACAGCTCGTCAATGACGAGGTCCTGCAGACCGTCGTGGTCCACGTGGTGGTCGGGGTCGACACCATGGCCGTCAACAAAGGCGATTTGGCGCGCATGGAACGCCGACTGCTCGAGGCAGCCGCCGTCGCAGCTACAGTTGCCGCCGTACTCGACGGGAAGCGCGTCGGCGTCAATGAACTGAAGCAGCGTCGACGGCGTCTCGGCTTCGCTTAAAATGAACGTCTTGGCCCGCGTGGCTTCGTGCAGAAGCGGTTTGATGCACTTCCAGATCATGCCAAACCAGGACGGGACGTTGACGAGGAAGATCTTGAACGACTGCTGCGGGTAGTGCTTCTGCATCGCGCTCGTGCAGCTTTTCACAAAGTCGAGCGCCTCACCGGCCAAATCTATAGTGATTTGCATCAGTATCGGATGCCAGCATCATGTCCGTGTGAGAGACCGCGCATGCCAAGACCGCGCGCGTCAAGCACGATGAGCATCTTGCACGTGTGGCTGTCGCGGCACGACACGCACGGGCACGGCGACGGCAGCACAAATCGGAGGATGTACTCCATGTTGAAGAGGTAGTGGCGGAAGAGGTCTGGCAGCGTCACGCCCGCGGCTTGGAGCCCCTTCATATCGATGGACCCCATCTTCTCGATAAACACGGGGTGCCCGACCTTGTCGACCTTGTGGATGCCTTGCTTGTAAAACCTAGCAATCATAAGCTTTTCTTCAATCTATCAAGTTGATACCGGCGAATCGTGTGGTAGAGCGGCTGCGGCGCGCTCAGCAGCGCCTCGATATCGTTCTTGGCGCGCCACGCCAATGTGTCGGCGTACCGGGCTGCCGCTTTCGCCGCGTCACCGTTTTCGGCCACAAGGAACCGCCTTGGCACCGCGTCACAGGACGACGACGCATCGTCACAGGCCTTGGCGAGGCGCTCGGCCTGCGATGCTTCCCATGCGAGCACCGAGAGCTCAAACGTCAAAATCGGCGACGTCTTGGGGCCGAGCAGCGGCGCGTAGAGCCGCTCGAGGTAGCAGACCTTGATGAGGACGAGGAGGGGCAGCGCGGCGAGGACACACCCGCCGTAGAAGGAGGTGACAAGGATGGCGCCCTTGAGATACGCGTGGCCAACCAGCGAGAGGTAGCCGAGGGCCATGGCCGTCAGCGGCGAGATGCCTCGCTGCCGGGCACAGACGCCGATGGTTTTGTGCAGAGCGACAAGCTGGAGGCGCACGGGTCGCTGGCCGTGCTCGACCACCGCATAAAAGGGCTGGTTCATGCTGCGCTCGAGTCTACCGCACGGATAAGAACTTATATATGCCATCGAAAGCGTACTCGTGCAGCGAGACGTGGGCGCGGCCTTGGTCCGTAAACACAATCTCGACGGTCGCCGACGGCGGCCCGACAATGGTCATGCTGGCGGCGAGCATGTCGTCAATGTCGGCGGCAATCGGTGTCGTCGTACTGCCGTCGACGACGTCGACAGTCCGGATCTTGGGCGGTGGCACGCCGTGGATCTCGAGGCGGAGGAGTGCACCGCGGCCATCGCAGCGCAAGAAGCCACCTACAACGCAAGCGCTACATAAGTGCTTCCATCACGGCAATACGGGAAGGTGCGTACCAAAGGACATGGGCGCGTTCTTCTTGCGGTGCGTGGTCACGAGCCGATTGAAGCCGAGGCGGAGGCGGTTCGAGTCGACGACCTGGATCGCGACGTTGGTGTCGCCATAGTACATGATGCGATGCTCCTGGAAGCTGGGCACCGTGTCGTTCTCGTCCTCGGACGTCGGCAAGAGAAAAGCCACCGACATGGTGCCCGAGAGGTTCGTGTCCTTCGAGCACGGGCCAAAGTACCCGTTGAAGGCGGTCCCGACCTTGTTGTTCCAGATGTGGTCGGCGGCGTCGACGAGGCAAACCACGTCGCCGTACGAGACGGGACTGCCGACCTTGAGGTGGCCGTAATAGCACTCGGGCACGATGCGAAAGTACGACTCGTGGAACCCTGGCTCCGAGAGCGGCGCGATGCACGCGAGGTCGTGGCACTTGTGCGTCGTGAGGTTGCCGCGCAGCTGGAAGAAGCTCGCCGCGAGGTCGTACGTGCCCACGCTCGCGAGCTCGGTCGTGCCTTGGAGCTTGGTGCGCAGCCGGATCGTGTCGCCGTACTTGACGGCCACGTGCGGCGGCGCGTCCTAATGGCATCCACGAGGTCAGTTGCATTGCCGCAAGGACGGCGATTATTACCTGTTGTATCCTGTCGACGTCCTTGTGCAGCGGGACCTTCTCCAGCGGGAGACCGCCGCTGCCGGGCTCGGACCGCGTCTGCCGCAGCTCGGGCGGCGCGTCCGGCGGCGGGCCTGGCATCGACGTCATGTGTGCAAGCGACGGCCGCTTGGGCCGACGCACCAAGCCCACGTGCAGGCTACCGACGTGGATGTCCTCGAGCATGACGTGACGAGGTCGCTGATACAAAGTGCGAGTTACACGCCGTGTGTCCCGGTAGTAAAGATAGATTCAGAGAGGAGAAGGCTGGGACATGCGCTGCCAGCTGGCCGAAGCAAGCGCCCGTCGCCGGCTCTTGGGCCCGCCGCGTCATCCCGTCTTCTACGCCACGCCATGGCGATGTCTCCTGCTACATGTACACTACGCCGTACTCGCAACGCCTTCGGACACGGCCCTGCCCGGTGACGCCCGGCGAGAGCTTGGCGCGACGACCTCGGGTGGTGGATTCTTGAACCTTCCCATTGATTGAAGGTATGTCGTCGTGGGCGGCTGCCTGTGGTCGGTGGTCCAACGAGGTCGGTGGTCGGTGGCAACCGGACGAGGAAGGGCACGACGAAGAAGCAACGCGGATGGCCACAATGCCGGTGCGCCAAGACAGGCCGGCTTGGATCCTACCACGCGTACGAACGCTCGGCCACCCACGTGTAATGCATCGACGCCGTTGCATGTAGGGGCAGCAGAAGATGCTTCTGCGCCTCGTCTTTTGTCGTCTTAGGATCTAGCTACAAGCGCGACTGGAGGCCGGCCTGCGCCTGCGCCAGCACCTTGACGAACGGCTGGAGCTTCATCGCGAGCTTCATGTTGCCGACGAACGCCATCTTCTTGGTCGAGATCGCACGCTCGAGGCGCAAACTGCCCGAGACAAAGGCCACGAAGTCACTCTCGGTCATGCGAATCTCGAGGTCGACCGGCGTCAATGGTCGTCCGATCAGCACCGTCTTGCTCTCGGCGCTGACGCGGATGACAAAGACCGCGTCACCGACCGTCCACTGCAGCGACGACCCAAGGACAGGCGCCACGAGCGCATGGCCCTAGTAGTCCGCGTCACGCTCCATCTTGCCGAACGTCGTATGCTGTCGTCATACCTCGGGGCTCTGCAGCACGTTGTGGACACGGTCAAAGATCGCGCGGATCTTCTTGGTGAAGGCCGTGTGCACCGTGTCGGGCGGCGCGTTGACGTTGCGAAGCATGGGCGCAAACGAATCCTACATCGCAGACGGCGTACTGAAGGAGGCTATGGCGACCTCCTCGAGTGCAGTACCTGCGTCGTCTCGGGGTGCGTCGCTTTCGCAAAGCTCACGACCTGGCTCCAGTTTTGCGCCACCTACCTCACGACGTTCCATGCAGTGGCGATCGTATTCGATGCGGGAGGTACTGTCTCGGGTGTCGCGTTGAGCGGGAAGCCGAGCCCGGCGCTGCGCTCGAGACGCACCTTGCCGATCCAGCCGCCGCCCGTCTCAAAGATGCCGCCGTTCTCGGACGACGAGCCATGGCAGAGGAAGGCGACCATGGATGTCGTGTACGCCGGCTTCAAGCGCGAGTAGATCTCGGTCGGCATGACTAGCCAGAAACGGCGTTGAAGGGGAGGAGGATGCATGCAGGAAGAAGAGAGGCATGACGGTACCCGACTGCGTCAGCGACGTGCCAGCGACGGCCGCGATGGCGTTGACGGCAATGCCGTACTTGCGGCCTTCAATCGCAAGCGCCTTGGTGAGCCCCCACACCCCGCTCTTCGAGGCCGCATAGTTGGCCTAGCACGCCCGTCGTCGTCAGCCGATTAGAAGGCGCATACTATCAAAAGGAACCTGGCCAAAGTTGCCGTACAAGCCACTCGCGCTCGTGCAGAGGAGGATGCGCCCATAGTTTTGCTGCCGCATGGCCGCCCAGACCGCGCGCGTCATGGTGAACGCCGAAGAGAGGTCGTGCTCGAGGACCGCCTCCCACTGGTCGCGCGTCATCTTGCGGAACGCAGCATCGTGCACCTGCGTCGCCGCATGCAAGAGGATGTCAACGCGGCCATGCGCGGAGACAATGTCGTCCACGACACGGCGGCCCTCTCGCTCGTCGGCGCAGTTGGCGACGACCGCGGTCCAGCGCACCGATGGCGCCGATGGCAGCTGGAGGATGCGCGGGTCGGTGTCCACAAGGACGCACGTCGCGCCGCGCTCGTGCAAGAAGCGGGCCCACGTCGAGCCGAGGCCGCCGGCGGCGCCGGTCACGAGCGCCACTTGCCCGTCGAAGGCGAGCATCCGAAAATCTTTTGTTGACGCAACGTGGCAAACGCGTGTTTTTCACACGTCGTCCGACCGTAAAGCATGGATTTTACACGCGCGCGCGTATTTTCACACGAGATAAAACACCTGTTTTCCACTGCGCCACTAATGGTGGCGCGCGCCACATCTAGTAGCTGGCCACCTCGCCGTGATGACGGCGGACGTGGCGCATGTCCAACTCAGCAGCGTCGTCGGCGCATTGCAGCCACAACGCGCGCAGTAGTACTACATCCCGTCTCCGATCCGAGGTAATCCGTACACGACATGGCATCAAACAACGCACTGTAGTGTAGCTGGGAGTCGGCGCAGGGGACCTAAATTTGGCGTGTGCCACCGCTTACTCTTTTCAGTGTTTCGCACAAACTTCCCGTGCATGGGTGCAGCCCTCGTCATCTGCTCGCGCCAAACGTGAAGGATCTCGTTGTGAGCTACTACTTTGCCTCCGCCGTCCATGCACCTGCCATAATTCCTCGTGAAGCACCTGCGCACCTACTTCCCGGGCCTGCAGAGGCGTTGGACAAGCTGGTCGGGCAGATACCGCGCCCTCGCCGCTAATTCCACGCAACCCGCTGGGCGCCACCTTCAATGAGACACGGATCGGCCTAGGTGCGAGAGCAGGTCGGGCACGCGCCACGCAGCAGCACTCATCGTCCTAGCGCAGTGACGCTTGCTTGCTCTCGCGTTCAACGTCCTTGGCGCAGCTTGGGTCGGCGCTCCTCTGCGCGCTGCAAGCTGCCCACTTGGCCGTTTGAACCTGGTCCCGAAGTTCGTAGTAGCCACATCCACGCGTACGCCAATGAGGTGCGTCGTATTTATAGGTGCCTTCGACTTGCAAGAAATAAATACATGTCTTTTAATGCGCCTACTGGCGTTGGATATGTTTTTAGACTTGTCTTTTGTATAGAACATTAGAAAGGGCAGCGTTGACATGCAATAAAAATGCACATCGAAGTTCTAAAAGGGCAATGTGCACTTGAGCGCATTTTTTATCTCACTGCGGCCGCCCATGTCGTCCTTCGCCACGCGCCTCAACTCGCTCAAGACGCGGGGCGTCTTCAACATTGACAACGTGCAGGCGGGCCGCGGCCGGCGCCCGTCGACGATCGACAAGTCCAAGCCGAATGTGATCGACGTGACCTGCCCGATGACCGAAATTGAGTGGGAAGGCTACCTCTACAAGCAGAGCAAGATTGTCAAGACGTGGATTCCGCGCTACATTACGCTCAAGGACGGCTTGCTGTGCTACTACAAGAGCAAGAAGCACGCGGTGGAGCGCTCGCAGCTGCGCGGCTCGTGGCAGATTGCAAAAGTCCTCGACACGATCCCGTCCGGTGGCATTGGCGGCACCAAGCTGCACTCGTCGACGCTCGGCTTTAGCATCGTCGCGACCAACAATCACATCATCCACTTTGTTGCGATCAGCCCCACGGAGAAGGAAATGTGGCTCTACATGTTCCGCAAGTGCTGCGACCAAGACTTGTACCAGAAGAGCCTCGCGACCGAGCAAACGACGTCGACGCCAACCCAGGGCGAGAGCAAGCTCGCGCGGGCGTCGTCGCAGCTCTTCTTCCAGGGCCTCACCGAGCCCATGACGGGCGGTCCCGTCCTTTTCGAGAAGCTCGCGACCATCCTCTCGGACATTACGCCCACGGAGCTCATGGACGTGCTTCCGATTTTTGTCAACCACCTCAGCCAAGACGTGGACGTCAAATTTGACTTTGAACCGCTCGACTGCGCCAAGTACGGCTTCTCGCAGGGCATGTACTACGCCCGCGAGGGCTTTGTGCATTTCGTGTCGCTCTTCCGGCAGACGTTTGCCTTGCAAGCCGCGAATGGCGACGAGTTGCCCAAGGTGTACCCAATGAAGGACGTCGACTCGGTCGAAGTCGTCGGCCAGCACGTGCTCCTCAAGCTCAACGCGAACGAAGAGATTCGCGGCCGGTTTGTGCACCGCATGCAGTTTTCGCCGTCGGGCCGCATTGCGCGCATGAGCGTCGACTTTAAAGTCGCATCGTCGTCGTCGTCGTCGGGCGCCGCGCGCACCCGCCCGCGCTCACTGTACAAGCTCGAGAAGCACCCGCAGAACTTTCACTTGTGCTACAAGTCGAAGCGGTCGCTCCTGCTCTCGTTTCGCGACTTTGAGATCCTCGGTGTGCTCGGCCAAGGTACCTTTGTGATGTTGTTTTTTCTGTCAACCATGGACGTCGTCGTCTAGGTGGCTTTGGCACCGTCGTGCTCGTCCAGCGCTTTACAGGCGGCGAGCTCTTTGCGATCAAGGTCGTCGACAAGGTCGCCGGCGCCTCGAGTGCGCTCAAGGAGCGCCGCATTCTCTCGACGTTGCGCCATCCGGTACGGATTGATACATTGATACATTTGGAGGTTTGACGTTTGGTCTCTCTAGTTTTTGGCCCGGCTGCGCTTTGCGTTCCAGACGCAGACCAAGCTCTTTCTGGGCCTGGACTTTTACACGGGCGGCAACTTGTACTACCACATGCACTCGTCGACGAACGCCGACGGGACGACGATGGAGTGGACGGGCGGTCGCCGCATGGACATTGCGCGCGTCCGCTTCTACGCGGCCGAGCTCGCGCTTGCGATCAGCTACTTGCACTCGCACGGCATCATCTACCGCGACCTCAAGCCCGACAACGTCATGCTCGACGACGTGGGCCACATTCGCCTCGTGGACTTTGGCATCTCGAAGCAGCTGATGCAAGACCAGTTTACGGGCACGCTCGCGGGGTCGCCGGCGTACATTGCGCCCGAGCAGCTCAACACGCAGCGGCCGCAGTACGGTACGAGTGCCGACTGGTGGAGCTGGGGCGTCCTCGTCTACGAAATGCTCACGGGCTCGACGCCGTTCGAGGACAGCAACATTGCGCAGATGTACCGCAAGATCCAGAGCCACGACATTCGGTACTTTACCAACAAAGCGGCAGATTGGCTCAGACATGGGATATCTGTAGGTATGAGTTTCACTGGCCAGTGGAGCCAGCGGCCATCGACCTCCTCCAGAAGGTCCTGGTGCGCGACCCGAGCCAGCGTCCTTCGTTTGGCGAGATCCAGAGCCACCCGTTCTTTGACGGCGTCGACTGGATCGGGCTCCTCCAAAAGACCGTGCACCCGCCGTTCACGCCGTCCACCGACGACGTCTTTGCCCACGTGTCGACGCACTTCGCCAAGATGAGCGTCGACTCGCTCGACAACACGCCGTGCGTCGGCGTCGGTCTCCCGTCGACGACGACCAAGAAGGGCGACGGCGTGGATCTGCACATTGACGACTTTAGCTTTTTCTACGAAAAGCCGGACGAAGTCGCGCAGAGCGACTACGCGTATGCGCTGATTGCCCAAGTGAAGGAGACGTTTGCGCGCGAACACAATGGCTGCTGCCCGCCGTCGTCGGGCCCGACGCTCACGCACTTGCACTCGGAAGACGACATTGTCGACAATGATCTCGACCCGGAAGTCGACCTTGTCGTACGCGATACCGAGCTCGAGAACGGCCTCAGCCGCTGCAACAGCGTGGACTTTAGCCGCTCCAACAGCGCCGACTTGAGCCGCTCCAGCAGTGTCGACTTGAGCCGCTGCAACAGCGTTGACTTGACCGTGGTCTGCGGCGCGGCCCCGGACACGGACCGCAGCGAGCTTTAAGAGCGATGCTTTCGACAAGTTGACAACCAAACAAGAAAAAAAGAGAAGTAGTGTAATCGTACAACACAATGGCCGAATGATATTCGCATCGCGTCGACTCCTCATGATGGGCTCATCAACTGTGCTAGACGCTGATCTGGCGCTCCGTGTTGGCCCGATGCCGCAAAGCGCCGATCTGGCGCTTTACGCTGTGTTGCATGGAGAGCCGTCGACACACGGCCACCACGTCGTCGAGTGCATCTTGCTTTTCCGGTCCACCGGTGTCGTCGTTGTCTTGGTCGATGCGACTGGTGTCGTGCAGCTTGGCGGGCGATTGTCGCTTCTGCTGCTGCTGCTGCTCTTGGTGGTGGTGGTGACGCGGCAACTCTTTTCTAGCTTGGTGGCGCTTCTGAAGCTCGTGGAGCGCGCGGCGCGTGGCGTCGTCGCGGTGGTGCTTGGGGTTGGTGACGAGCGCCGCAAACAACGGCGGTTGTGGCTCCCGGAGCACTCGCCCGACCGGCGGTCGCCGGCTCGGCGCGACTCGAAAGGCGTCTTCAAAGGCTGTTTTGCGATACGTGGGGTAGCAGCGTTCGTCTACTCGGTCGTACGTGGCGGTCGGGACGGCGACGACAGTCGGCTTGTCACGCAGCGCATACACGTGGCGCATGTCGAGGTGGTAGCGCGGCTTGGCGCGAGGGACGGGGCGCCGCGACGAGCGAGTGGACATGGGCGGCAGGAGAGGCTTGCTCGGCACATGGCTCGGTGTCGTTGCCGGGCGGTCGACGGCTGTGAGAAGACGTCGCGACGCGAGCGACGCACATGTGGTGGCCGCGAAATCGTCTTGAGGCTGCATCGGCCGTCGCGGCGAGGAGGATGAGGAGGTTCCGGTTCTCGCCGCGTCAAAAAACTGTCCCAGCGCACTCGCCCGTCCTTGGCTCCGGTGCAGGCTCACATACTGCAGCCGCCCGACATGGACGGACGACGGGTACTTGTAGACTGGTCGGTGGTCGCTGCTGTTGTTGGCGCGCTAGTTTGCACTTGTGGTTTTTTGTGAGACGAGACGTGGCCCGTACCAGTCGAACGATCGCTGGTGCTGCCACGTCACGCTGGATCCCTTGCTGGACTTTTGACGCACCGCAAACCCACGGTAGTGCGCCTACGTTCGAAGGCGACGATTGACTATGGAACGTAGGGAGTTCGAGTCGACCTGAAACTTGGCAAAAATGGCGTGCATGCGGCTAGGATTCGCGAGTGCGTGGTCGTGGCGCTTGTGCTTCTTCAAGAGCTTTTGTATGCCCGAGAGCCGGTCGGGCGACGGTGTGCGCGTCTTCAAGTGCACGAGCTTGGACGCTGCGCGAACCCACGTGTGCTTGATCTTGGGTGAGAGCGTCCGCTTCGTCGTATCGCTACGCTCTATTCTCGGTTTTCATCATTGCATGCACCGTGTGATGAGGATGCGCGAGTGGTACCCCGCTGCCGCATGAGGTACTGCCAAATGGCGCGGGCAATGAGATCATAGGCATTGCGAAGGGCGACTGCATACAAGCGAGCGAGGAAGCGGCGAGCGACCGCTTGAAGCACGATGGCCATATCGCCTCGGAAGAGCACAGCCGCGTCGCGCTCTTGTCGCAGCACCGCCAAGTAGTGCAGCCGTCGGATTTGCCAGCCGCGGCACCCCGCCTGGATGCGCGTCGCTGCCTAAGGCAACCGATCGGTCTATGGACGTTTTGGTTGTGGGTATGTCACCTTGACTTTTCGAACCGTGTAGACGGGTGGCCGTGGAATGCGCAGAAGCGATTGGCGAATACGATTGCGCATCGACTTGCGCGTTGGCGACGGACGCGGCGGCTCGGGCATCTTGATCGGCTCGTCGAGCGTGACAGGGTCGTCCTCGATCGTGTGCAGCTTGTTGGAAAAATCGACCTTTTCGCCCGTGAGCTTGGAGTTGAGCAGGTTCAGGAGGTCCATGGCCTAGATGCGATGTCGGTGGATGATTTGATTGATGTAATATCAATGCCGTACGCTGTCTTGGTGCTTTTGCATCGTCGATTCGGTCGTCAACTTGGCCTGCCACGCCACATCAATCGTGGGCTACAAAAGCCATCGATCGATCTGTGGCATCGCTCCGGTGAGCGCGGAGGTACCGCGACGAGCTGCACAAGTGCGAGAAGCGACTCGACGTCGGACGCTCGGTACAAATTGGGCGCGGTCAAGTCGCTGGACGAGGACTCCTCGAGCAAGACGGCCGTCCCTGGTGCGGCTTTTTGAGCGATACGATTTACCATCTGTCAAATGCAGGGATGGAGTCAGTCTTTGCAAGGCACAAGTGACGCCAACCTGAACGACGCCAATCGCCCGATGGACGTCCCGCTGCAACGGAAGGCAGAGCATGTTTTCAGCTGACGCGTGCATCCGGCCATCGACGTTGGCATCAAAGAGCGGGTCCTAACGACGATGTTGAGTCGGTCGCCACATCATAAGAGAAGAGTCGAGACCGCATCGGGGCGACCGGTGCTGAGGGTCATTTTGCGCGAGAAGCACCGTCCGACAAGGCCTATCGCGGTCGAGAAGGTGCCATGCAGCGGCCGTTTGGCGTTGTGTCCGGCTGCGAGCTGCAACATACGACTGCGCTTGTCATAGATGAAAACCGACGCGGACTGCGACGGAGCGACAGCCACGAGACTCTTGAGCACGGTGGTCAGCACGTCCTCAAAAGACACATCCACACGCGTCTCGCCGAGAGGAGGGTCAAGGGCGGCGCATAGCGCGCGCAAGCGTTTAGTGTGCTCGACGAGGAGTCCGGTGTCGTGCATGGTTCATTGTCAAATCTGTTTCGAGTTGGGCTCAAAATAGATGGTATCGTTGTGCCACGTCATACACTTGGCATATGTGTGCAATGGCACCATAAGAAACACACTTGTAATATCTTAGTACAAATGTCGTAGCACCGTGTGGCCTTGGTTGCCAGAATCGGCGTCGTCGTCGTCGATGTTGTCCTTATTAGCAGCAGCGTCAGCTCTCGGAAGGGTGTTGAGAACCGGCGGTCGGCCGCGCGGCATGCGCACAGCGTTCATCATGTCAAACACCGACGACGAGACGCTCGCATTGGACTCGATCGAGCCCGACCGCTGCAGCGGCGGTGGCGCGGACCCGTCGTGCAGCACCATGGAATGAAAGCTCGTGCGTTGCGGGTCCGAGTGCAGCGAGTTGGGTCGAGACTCGCTCTGTGACGACGACGTGTCGGCGTAAAAGAACACTAGCACACAACAACCACATGTCTCAAACCAAAAGGAAAGAGGGACGTGGCACAACGTACGCTTGCCACGCTCGTCGCGGCCGGGGCTGTGCACATGGACAATGTCGCGGTACGGCAGCGAGTCCGAGCCCGAGCTCGCGTCGTCATGGTCGAGCACGATCGTGTGCGTGGTTTGGGTCGTCGACCGCTCGGGCTTGGGCGGCGTCGGGCGGTTGGCGTCGATCTTGGCAGCGACAAAGCACGTCTTGCAAAATTTCTCCTTGGCGAGCGCGCTCGAGCTCGTCAACTTGGTCGGTCGGTCGACGCAGTAGAGCGATACGGTGCAGCCCTTGCACACGGCCTAGCGCACACATCGAGATGGGAAGGGTGCTGAGATGTTAAGGTACGTACCTCGCCACACCGCCGACAGTGGTGTTTCCGCCGGAGCAGGTTGAAGCCCTTGCTGCACACGATACACGACTTGCTATCACAGGAAGAGCGATCACAAAGTGGGTTCTGAGAGCCGCCCGCACCTTGCGTGGTTCCAATTGGTCGAGAAGGGCCCTGTGGCCAAGCGACGGGCCTCGGGGGCACTTGTTTCTTTCGGAAGGCTCATGAGGTCCTTGACCAGACCCCCGGGCAGGAACACGCCCATCGCCTTCCAGTAGACAAGGTGCGCTGCCTTGCACTGTTGGGCAGCATTGTTGACGCCGAAATGACCAGCAATTTGGCTTTGGCTACGACTCGCCATGGGGAGACCTACAATTACTGAAGGTCGAAAGTGCAAACAGAAAGGGCAAACTCAAAAGTACCGCGCGACGACTGCAGCTTGGCCCGCACGACCACGTCGACAGTTCCGTTTGAGCTCTCGCGATAGAGCTTGACGGTCGAGCAGCGTTCACCAAACGTCAATGACGACTGCCTGTGCTCGGGCGCCCGGACCGAGACCGGGTCCGTAATGATCACGTACGTCACACGGCCTTGGGCGTCCAGACGCGTGCCAGCAAACTATCAGAACTCATATATGCATGCGTACTCTTGGCAGGTATCGTGACACCTCGAGGTAGATGTACTCTTGGTCCACATCTTCTTGGTTGGCGACCTGCACCGAGAGCTTGAGGTACTTGACGCCGAAGAACTGGCCCGGGTCCTCGGGTGTCCGGCGGTGCGTGAGGTTGAGTAGCGCAGCGTCGAGGAGCGTGTCTTCGTAGAGCACACCCGAGAGTGCGCGGAGGTCGTGCGTGTTTTTGACGTAAAAGGCCTCTTGCAGCGCCGCGATCGACGTCTTGAGGCTCCCGACCGCAAGGTACTCGTGCATCTCAAACGACGTCGGCCGGTCGCGCGGCTTGTGCTCAAAGAGCTGCCAGCCCATCTTGTCAGCGACCGCATCCCAGCCATTCGTAGCCGTGGCGGACGACCGGTCCCAGCCGACGTGGCCGCGCAGTGCGAGCGCCATGATGCGCTCCATGTTGGCCAAGTGTTTTTCGTACACGTCCTGCGTCATCTCAATGCGCGGGTAGCGCGTTGCGGCGCCAGTAGCGTCGGTAAATGTGCCCCCGCTCGTCGTACCAGAAGCCATCGCGCAAGGATGATCGATGACGACGACGACCTTGCTTGCTGCTGATGGATGGGGCTCGGCGACAAATGGCTCCTTGACGGCTTGCCATCTGCTGGCCTTTCCGACGGCACGTCCCAGCTTCGACGAAGTTTGACAACCGAACGCAAGCGTGCCACGTGTGCTCGCGTTGAGTATGTTGCTCTCAAATCAAAGCGTCGGACGGCCCGTACTGGAGAGCAATTTCGTCCATGCCAAGTGCCATTTGGTTTCCATCTTCTCGCTAAAAGTCGACTGCCAACGCCGACATGCCCACGTTGCTATGAGGGCTGCGAACGATGTGACACTGCGGCGTGTACGCGCTCAATGAGCTCGTTGGCCAACGACAGTAGAGGCAAAGGGCGCTCGAACGCGACGCGTCTCTCTCGCTGCAGCCTATCGAGTCGTCAAGAGGACTAAGGGAAATGCGCAAATACGATCATAAACGCCAGTTGGTTTGTCGATGCACAATGGACATTTGACGCTTCCTCGTGTCAAAAAAGGTGCATTTCCGAAGTATGTGGGGGGTACTTCGATCGCGTCCTGGTCCGTGCAGACAACCATGGACCGACCCACCAAATAACCACAAGCACGCCAAGGACGTACGAGCAAGCTGGGCGAGCGCCACCGCCGTCGTCCGTTGAGCTTTGGCGTCGTCGCTGGCAGGATAATATCCTGTGACGCGATGGACTACCGCGTGATAGGCCACCGAGGTCGACACCTCGGGTGAGCTCTGGAGGAGTCTGCTTGGCGGTATCATTGATGGTCGACGCACTTCCTCGCTGCTCTGGATTGGTGCCAGAACACGGCGCGAGTACCTCAATTCAAATGGGAACGCGACTCGCGCCGGTGAAATGCAGGCGTCGTGGCCGAATAAAAGTTAGCGATGTAGGCCGGCCGCAGTCCGACCCAACCGACATCCATGCCCGCATGCGAGCGCTGGCGCCTCGAAGGATGTGGCAACCTGTGGGTGCAAACCTCTCTGAATAAATAACCTGCATCCAGAAGTATGTGTAGGATTGTGATATGTATCGAGTATGACAGTACCTGGCTGGCGTCGCCCACAGAATCTCTGACTGCCATGGTCGCGATCCCGCTCTTCAAGGTCGGCGGCCTCTTCCTGCGGGCGCTGACCAAGCCCGTGGCCAAACAGCTCAAGCAGAGCGCCAAGACCAAGCCATGGCTCAACTCGGTCTGCCGCAGCGTCGGCCAGCACCAGCATGCGATAGGGGTCCGGATACAGATGAGCATGCAGGGCCAGATCCACTTGAAGACGATCCAGATCAAGGAGCTGCCGGCCGACCAGGCCGTCGACAAGGGCTCCGAGTTCCTCGGCGAGACGCTCATCTTCTCGGTCGCGGTTATGGTCGCGTGGTACGAGTACGACCGCAGCAACCGCAGCGCCAAGGCCAAGGAGCTCAAGGCCAACGAGCGCGAGTTCCAGCGCCTGCAGCAGATCGAAATGCGCTTCCGGAACCTTGAGCACCTTATGGCGAGCATGCAAGACGAGATCTCGGTACTCAAGCAGCAAGTCGAGGACGCGTCGGCCAAGCTCACGCTCTACAAGCACGAGCAGGCCGAGGTCGCGCGGCAGCAGCAGCAGCAGGTTGCCACCACGAGCCGCTGGTGGTAAGACGACGACCATGCCACTACTTCAGCCGACTAGACGCAACCCAAGGCTATACTCGTTACACCAGCAATACAGGAGAATGCTGCTCTCGATTGGTCTCTAAGATGCTCTACGCCATGCCCATGGCAGCCTTGACCTCGGCCATCGTCGACGTCGCGATCGTGGCCGCCGCATCTCGTCCGTCGGCGAACACTGCGTCCAGATAGGCAGGGTCTTGCTGGAACTGCGCAATCCGAGCGCCGATCGGGCCAATCCTACCGGGCTGTGTGAGAAGTTGTCGTTTGTACACCAGACATTATGTCCACACTTTTCCACAACGGCCTCGGCCACAACATTCTTGAACTGACCCGTTTGGTACGACTAGACAGCCGCGTGCATCATATATCCGATGGAGTAGTCGACGTACGCCATAGTCGGCCTGAATCTCGTCCAGCGACTTGTCCGAGACGACGCTCAGAATGGACATGAGGTTCGAGACCCCCGGTCGTCCTTCCTTGTCGTAGAAGATGCCATCGATCGCGTCTGTCTGGGCCTTGCGGATCTTCTTGAGAATGACGTCGGGCCCGTCTAGATCGTAGTATCGAGTTGATACTTTCTGCAAGCGTCGCGTTGAATCCTGTACCCGTGAGATCGATGCGGCTACCGACCGCCGGGTCCGACTTGCTCATCTTCTTGGTTGGCTCCTTGAGACTCATGATGCGCACAAGCTGGTCGTTTGGGTCTTCGCGGACTGGGATCGGCTTGGGAAAAATCGGCTGCTTGAAGCGATCGTTAAAGGTCGTGGCCACCATGCGCGCGAGCTCGAGGTGCTGCTGCTGGTCGTCGCCCACGGGCACGTGCGTGGCCTTGTAGAGGAGGACGTCCGCGGCCATGAGCACAGGGTACGAGAGCAATCTACGTATCGCGTCGAGATTGCATTTTCAACCATCCAAAATGTACCCAAGCGACACGTTGTTTTGGTCCTTCTGTTGGCTCTTCTGCTTGAACTGCGTCATGCGGTGGAGCCACGAGAGCGGCGTGACGCAGCTCAGCAGCCACGCGAGCTCCGTGTGCTGCGTAATGTCCGACTGCTTGAAGAGCACACACTTGGTCGGGTCGAGACCGCAACCGAGGAGCGACGCGCCAAGGTCGCGGATATTGCGCTGTAGCTGCGTATGGTCGTACGGCATTGTGATCGCGTGCAGATCGACAGTCATGTAGAGCTGCGACGCCCGCGGTGCCTGCGTCCGGTTTTGGAGGTCGACCCACTTCGAGACTGCGCCGCAGTAGTTGCCAAGGTGCGGCACGCCCGTCGGCTGGATACCCGACAATATGAGCTTGGACGCTGCTGCTCTACGTCAGAAGATGCATATGAGATCTTAGTCGCCTGCAACCTCGCCGACTTTGCCGCCATTGGACTTGCACGTCGAAGCGTTTTTGGGCCCGCCGGATGCGGCCGCAATCATCCGGATAAGGAACCGCGTGGAATTCTGCATGACATTTTGAACCACATGGCTCTTTTCTTGCAGACGTATTTGTGTGCGATTCGTGCCTCGATCCACTTCAATCAGCGTCTTGGTCTACAGAGTCTATAATAATACGACAAGAGTACACCACGCTCGTAATCGCCAGCACCAAGGCATCACAAGGCACCACGATCGACTTGGGACCGAGAGGGACTGAGACTCCCACGCAACAGAGAAAGAGTCTTCTCATGTGGACGAGGATTGAGCCGACTGCTTCGCCTAGAAAAATATCGTCTACTAGTAGATACGATATATATATACCAAGACGCCAAAACAAACAACTCGACCAGTGTCGGCACCACGAGCAATCAACCTGCATCAACATCAGACCACCCGACATTTCGCGTCGGTCGCCAAGCCAACGACTTCCATCAGCCCGCGAGTTCAAGTGAGTACCCCCCGTGTACCTTTGGGTGCTGCAGCTCCAGGTCGGCCCAAGGTCGCATCCAAGTGGAACTCCGCAACACGGGTCTGGCTCACGACCTCGGATGCTGCTGGTCGATCAAGTAGCTTGACGATGGACCACATACTAGAATATAAACCCTTTGTGGTAATCCCGGTAATACACCGCCTGACAAGATACGATATATATATTGTCGTGTGCTTTTTAGCCCGAGTACAAATTCGCAAACTTGAGGGACACGATATCGCTCTGCTTGTTGGCGAGCTTGGCGCTGGACGTCGTCGGTGGTTTGGTTGGCCGCGTCGGCCGCAGCTTTGGCGGCGCTGGCTTGGCGTCCAAAAAGAGAGTTCGGCGTCGCGCTGCTGCTTGACGCGCTTCTCGAGCACGTACGCGAGTTGCGGCGAGAGGTCGACCGCGCTGTAAATCTGCTTTTGCACCGACGGGCTCGTGATCGTATGACAATATTTGTCCAATATCGCATCGTAGCGCGGGATCTTGCAGTTGGGTACGTCGACCCAGTTGCGTTCGCGGGCGAGGAGCTCGGTTGCCTTCTTTGGCGCCACGAGCCGCCGCGTGCTCGTCTGAAACGACCCGGGCACGCGAAGGTCCTCGGCCGACGTCGGTCGGTCGACACTGGGCTTGGGTACGTGGCAAAACGACGCGTACTGCGACACGTCACCTTGGCGAAACATATTGAGCAGCAGCCACTCTTCTTTCACCTTGTCGACCTTGGGCTCAAAATGGTATTTCTCGGGGCTTTGGACGACCACCTACACACAATGTGATGCGTTTTTGACACACAAGTTGGCTTTGTTTGGTGGGTACCGGCGCCGTTTTCTTTTTTGGCGACTTGGGTGCCGCCGTGTCTTGGCGCCACGGACGGTAGTTCTTCTCGGGCGAATTGAACGCAATGGCATCGACGCGGGGGGAAATGGACGGCGCTCGCGACTCGCGCTGCAGCGTCTCGACGTGCATGCGCGGCGGTTTGGTCTGGCGCGGCACCGACGGACGTGGCGGTGGCCGCGGCGTCTCAACCTCCACCGGTGCTTTCTTGGGCGGCAGTCGCTGCCGAAGTTTGCTGACCGTCGTTGGTTTTGGTGTCGTTGCAATAGCAGAAGGGGTGGTCGACGAGCGCTTCGGCGTCCGCGCCGTGCTGTTCAAAGCAGACGTGCTCGAGGGTGTGCGAACAATAGGGCTTGACTTGGAGGGCGTCGGACGTTGTCGTGGCTCGGACGACGGCGTCGTAGCGACCTGTTGCGTCGTTTTCCGCGGGGTCTTGATCGGATGAGAGTTCGAGTCGTCGACGGAAGACTCGCCCGTGCCGGGTACTGTGACGCGCTTGCTTGTCTGTAGCGGCAGCGGTGAGATCGTTCGAGGTGGTGGTGTTGCTGTTGCACGTTCTGGCGTTATTGGTGTCGAGGATGCGCTCTGGGATGGCTTGGCGAATGCCGAGGATGTGCCACGAGCCGGTACTACTGCCGCGAGCTGGTTGTCACCCTCGGAAGGTGCAGGGACGTGTGCTGCGTTGACAAGTGGACTCGGTGGCGACTGCACCGTTGACGAAATCATTTCTGGTATCGCATCCGGTGCCGTGGACGTGTGGATAACGTCTGCGAACGGTTCTGCCTTTGGTGCCGACGCTGCGTCAGTAGCTGCAGCGACGTGCGCCGCTACCTGAGGCTCAACAGTGTTGTTGTCTGGCGACTGTAGTATGTCGTCGGTGTCGATGGCTGCCAGCACATCGTTGTTGGAGGCATCGAGCGTCTGCGTGGCGATGACGGGCATGGACGCGCCGTCGTCATCAAATCCGTCTTCGTACACACTAGCACCCAGATCCGTGTTGTCGTCGTCCTCGTCCTCGAGCTTGAACTCGTCCACGTAGGCGTCCGTGAAGCTCCCGCGGCGACTGTTGTTGTCTACCGTCGCTTCGAGGCGTTGGATGGTTGCCAAAATGGTATGATCCTCTGCTGCGTCGCCGTCGTCATCGCCATCAACGCCACCGTCAGTCTCAGACGCGGCATCGTCCAGGTGCATCGACTCGATCAACCGCGTATCTGCGGCCTCCACCGTGCTGGTTGGCACGGCATCGAGCGTCGCATCCGTTGCATCGTCGGCCGGCGCCGGGATAGCGACGTCGATGTCCACGTTGGCTCTTGACACTTTGCACCTGCCGCTTGTGGCGTCTTCCGGGCGCGAGTCGAGTGCGGCGGGTGCTGAAAGCAAAGATGGAAGCTGCGCACCATCGTTCAACGCCATATTTTCACTGAGCGCATCGCTGGCTGCAGACTCTGCGAGGCTAGCTATCGGCACAGACACAACGGGCGCGTCCTGAGGCATCAATGACTCTGCCGACGGAGGTGCGATCAGATGCAGCGTGCTTGTACCAGCCTCGAAAGACTCCTCATACGCGTCTTCATCGTCTTCATCGTCTGTCATCCCCGGCGGCGGCGATGCTTCCGCAACGCGAGAGGACGTTGGTACACTCGTGTCATCGCTGGCAGCCACGACGACAAGCTCAGAATTCGCCGTCCCCACAACAAGTGGCTCCCTGTTTGGTATCTCGGTGGCTGCGCCATCGGGAGCTTCTGAGAGCTGGTGCGGTGGGTCTGTCCAAGCAGGCTCGTCCAGAGATTCGGCCACAGCTTGGTGGTCGTCTTCATCGTCTTGTGCATTGGCTGCAACGAACGGCGACTCTGACCGCTGTGCTGATGCCTCCACGTCCCCAGCGTCCTCGGGGCCGCTGAAACCATCGTCGTTCACAAGTGTTGCTTCCACTGCGGCGAAAGCCTCGGACGCCGCAGTTGCCTCAGTCGAGAGTGCGCGGTGATCGCCAATGTCAAAGCTAGCGTCGTCCTCGTACTCGTCCAAAGCGTTCTCGCCAGCTACCTTGCTTGGATCAATCAAAGTCGCCTCTGCTGCCAATAGTAGCGCCGTTGCATCGGCATCCAGTGTCGGCGTAGCAAGAGGATTCCGCGTGCTTACCACTTCCAAGGCGTCGACATAGGCATCGCCGCCGTTGTTCGAGTCCATCAGTGATACCGGTGGCATCTCGGAGGTTGAAGACGATTCCATCGGCATGCCACCATAGAAAATGCAGCGACTGCATCCAAGGCCATCGACGTTTCGGTGTCAGCGTCCATCGCGTCAGTGTCGACGTCCTCCGAGTCCGACGGCAACTCGTCTTTGATGCTACCCGACGGTGGCACCGCGGCGAACACGGCGGTGGCCGGTAGAGCAATAATCGGCGGCGCGTCATCGTGGACAGCGTCATCGAGCGGCGGGGCCGCAAACCCCCCCGCCGCGTCAGCATCTTTGGGCTCTCGATCGTCATAGGCGTTGAGCGACCGCGCACTCGACGTCTTGGAAGCACTGGCAACAAGTTCTTCAATCAAATTTTGGCGCGAGCGGTCACTCGCCGTTGCTGTCGTCGGCAAAACAACTGCGGTGTCTCTCGTGGTGTTGGTGTCGTCTTCGGTGCGTAAATGCATGACGGTACGTGCCGGAGCGTCTTCTGTTGCCGGTCGGGTGGCGCCGCGTCGGCCGTTGCGTCTGTCACCTCCTTCGTGGCAGCGTCTGGACGGTGCGGAAGCGCGCTCGATGGTTTCGCTTGGGCAGTGTCGTCGACGCTTCTTACACCGCCGTCGTCCGTACCCTGCGGCGTGTAAACGGCACTGGCACGCTCGTCGTAGGCGATGTCGGCGGGCGCTGCAATCTCAGAAGCCCTCGCTTCCATCATGTTGTCATCCGGCGGTCGCATTAGTTGCCGGCTGCTTTGCGCGTCGGGGGTGCCATCCATTTTGACGGACGGCGCGGCCTTGGATGTGTTGGCATTCTCGAAAGATGTGCTCGACGCTGATGGCGACGTCTCCACTGCCAGCTTGTCCGCATCGAGGATGACACGAGCGTGCAGCCCCACGGGTCGTTCCGTTGCCAGTACTTCGGGTGTAGCGGAGCTGGCAACGGTGTTCTCTGTAGCGCTGGGTAGAGGCTCGTCCGCTGAAGCAAGCACCAAAAGGGCCGCACTGGCGTCGAGAGCAGCTCCCGTATCTTGCCGTGGACGATGTAGCTCGTCGTCAAAGTCTGATGGGTCGGCCGCGTAATCATCCTCATACGTGGGACTAGATGACATTGCTGCTTCTACCATCGTTTCTGGTACAGCTGCCTTGGAAGAAATGTCGAGATCGACAAGCTGAGGCACCGGATCGGATGTATCAGCAGCAAAGTCGTTGTCGTCGTCATAAGTTGGACTCGATGATGCAGCGGCTTCCATTCCCGTCTCTGATGCAGCAGCCTCGGCAGGGACATTGAGTACGTCCAGCTCTGGCGCCGGGTCGGATGGATCAGCAGCAAAGTCGTTGTCGTCGTCGTCGTATGTGGGGCTAGGCGAAGCGACGACCACCATCGCCTCTGGTACAGCGGCCTCGGACAGACCATCGGCATCCTTGTCGCTGTCTTTGTACGTTGGGCTGGACGAAGCGGCAGCTTCCACCAGGATGTCTTCCTCAGCGTGGACATGGAAACCTGCAATCGCGGGTGCCGGTGGATTTGTCGCGACCGCCGATTCCGAAGGAGGCTCGTCGTCGGCGTAGTCGTCTTCGGCGTAATCATCGTCGTTCATGTAAGCGTCCAAGTCTGCACTGCCATCAGTTGCGGGCTGGCTGGTATCAGTGGCCGTGGTTCGTTTGCGGCCGCCGCAGTCTCGATGAGCGCGTCATCATACGTGTACTCTTCCGCGCCGAAATCGTTCTCAGTGTCCACGTCGCCATCGACAAGGGCCGTCGGCTTCTGATTGCGTGGGTCGTTGCCGTCGTGCTTGGTGGACGCAGCGTCGTTGTCCCAATCGTACAGGTCGGACTCGGACTTCTGGGGCAGGACGACATGCCGTTGTTGTGGTGCGGCGTTGGCGTCGACGTCTGGAAAATCTTCGTCCGAGTACGACTGCTCCTAGTACGAAGATACTGATGAGGCGAGAGAAGAACCGCTTCGAGGCAGTGGCTCGGTCAACCTCGTCCGACATGCTGGTGGATGCGCGACTCGGCCAGAGCGCACCAGTTACAGATTAATGTGGCGCCTATTTATAAAGGCGGCGTTGTACGCAGCGCCGGTGTCGCCGTCCAGTACGTAGCACGCAAAATGCTTTATTCGTTTGGGTATCGTTGCATCGAACGACGCTTACATCCAAGCTACACCTACCCAAGAGGCACGCCATAAAGCTCACCCGTACTACACAGTAAATTGAAATAACGACACCCATCGGTATATATTGTCTATGGATGAAGAGCGCAGACGTTAGGTTCTTGTCGAGAACGCATGGTAGACGGCACGTCCAGAGGCGCGTCGACTCTCGCTACTAGTATGATCGTGTGAGAGTTGTGGCTAAATATGGCGACATGTGGCAGTCAACATCTAAATATGGTCGTTACCACTATTAACAAATCACTGCACAACTTTTGCTCTCCGCCTCCAACGCCGACGTGACATGGCTTTTCGTGCTCTCCAACGTGTTTTCTATCATCTATCCAAGTTTCAGCGCTTTCGATTTTGAGTGCCATGGCAGCCATCGCAAGCCCTGGTTTCGCCGAGCCGCAGAACGAGGCGCTTGTGATTCGCTGAAAATATTTAGAAAGCGGCGAATCAAAAGCGTCGCAACATCAATCCACGTCAAAATCCCTCGACAACCTTTCCACGCAGCAACATGAGCACCTCACTGAGCTTGGCGTCCAGTGCGTGGTTGGCGGCCTTGGCGTCCTCTAGCGCGGCCGTGTACCGCGTCTCCATCGCTTGCATCGCCGCCATACACGCATCGACGTGTGCCTGCAGCTGGCGATTCTGCTCCTTGCCGCTGGCCACGATCGCGTCGCAGAGCTGCGTGGGCGTGGGCTCCGGCCGCTCTTCCCAGCGCGCCGCTGCAGCGTCAAAGACGGCTTGTAGACTCTGCCAGGCGCGCGCCACCATGGCCGTCATCGAGACGCCGTGCACCATGGCAAAGAGCACGTCGTGCTGGTCGGTATTGGTCGCCGCCTCGAGCGAGAGCGCCGACGCCAAGGTTGTCCAGTGCTGCTCAACATTGTGCTGGACGGCGCGGAGGCGACTGCATCGGTCGGATGGCTCGGGCGCGCGCTTGGCGACGACCGAAGCGAACGCCATGTCGATCGCCGCGCGGGCCGTCGGGATGCCGACTTCGCATGCCATCGGGTACATGGCCGAGGTGCAGTAGTGGTTGGCGTCGTGCACGGCCGCGGTGACAGCATCCAGCTCGACCAACGCGCGGCGCTGGAGGTCGCGGAGGGTCTGGAACCAGTCTTTGCCGACTTCTTGGATACTGCGGACGACCGCCATGTCGTCGTCGCAGAGGTTGCACTCGTGAAGGAGAAGCACCTCGTCAAACGCGGGGTTGTTGGTCGCACTCGCATTGGTATCGTCACGCCGACGCGACGCGTAGTAGACGGGCTGGCGCGAGAGGGGCAGCGTGAGCTCGAGCCGCAAAATGCACGCCGCGTAGCTCCACACGGCGTCTCGCTGCGACGCGCGGAGACCGTCGGCGACCGTCTCGTTCATGGTCGCCAAGAGCACGTTGAGAAGGAGCAGCATCACGACACCAGCGTGGAGCATGAGCAGCACAAACGAGTAGTGGTACAAGAGTGGCGGCAGGTCGCTCGGCGTGGCCCACGTTCCGTCCAGATCAAACTGACCGAGCATGACAAAGTACGACGTCCGAAACGACGCCCAGAGCGACACGTAGCTGTTTCATTCGGCTGCGACCGAAAGAGCTGGTAAAACACGCACGTGAACGCAGCCTGCACGACGCCAAAGAAGGCGAGAAAGTTGCCCACGTCCCGCAGCAGCGCCGAGAGCATCGGGAGGAGGTACCCGCCCGTCTGAAACACGGCGAAAAACTGCAGCGAGAGCAGCCACAGCGACAGCGTCAAAAGACTGCCGAGACAGAGACCCGTCGTTGGCTCTAGCGACGACGCCAGCGGAAGGTACACACACAGGATACCGGCGTACGTAATCAGCTGCCACAGATTGAGGCGCGACGACCAGTACGCGTGCGTCTCGGCGGCTTGGAGACGGTCATGACCGACAAACTCTTGGTGCTCGAGCCGCACAAAGTAGAGCGTCGACGTGAGCAGCGAGAAATGGACGCACGTCTTGGCCAGCGACGTCGTCCCAAAGACCGTCGCGGACCACGGAATGCGATGCCAGAGCGGCACGTCGATGCACGTCACGTACATGTAGACGGTGACGGTCATGGTCACGAGACACAGCAGACGCTTGACCGTCGTCTTGGCCGGCCCGAGGTGCCGCGGGTCGTGCTGCCAGTGCAAGGGCGACGGCGCCGTAAAGCGGTGCAGACACGTGGCGAGGTACAAGAGCGGCGTGGGCCGTGTCCACTGCACCGCGACGAGCCCGAGGACGCAAAAGATGATGCTGACACACCAGACGCGGAGCGGCGCGTCATGAGCATTGATCGGCGACGGCTGCAGCGTCACGGCGACCGTCATGGAGGCAAGGAGGATGCCGTACCAGAGCAGCTGCTCGACAAACATGCGCTGCGCGAAAAACTGTCGAGCGATAGATTGGATCGATGCCAAGGCAGAAAGTAGTGTGTACCTCCCACTTGAGCTGGAGGATGCGCTGCAAGACAATGTGGTCCAAGAGGGCCTTGGCGCCGTCGCGCTTGGTCGCGTCTTGGTACTGCACGATCGAGTAGAGCGCGCTGGACGTCACGCGACGGCCGTACACGGCTTCGAGCTAGCGGTAGATATCACAAAGTGTCCACAAATGCATCGTATGCGATGGACGAGCGTAGTAGTACCTTGGTAAAGCCAAGCGTATGGCGGTCCGGCGAGAGACAGTCGTTGAGGAAGAGACGACCGAGGGACGGGTCGGCGGCGATCGCGCGGCGAAAGAGAGCTTCGTCAAACGGCGCGTCGTCGGGCAGCGCCTCGAGCTTGAGCCGCCACTTGGCCACGTACTCGGCCGAGGTCGACCGGAACGCGACTTCTTTTTGAAGCAGCGTCACGCACGCTGCTTGCCGAGGGGTGAGCGAGGCTTCCAACGACTAGAGCGATTGGTTGAGAGATAGATGATCCGCAACGAGATCAGGAGTCTACGGTCATGGTCGCGAGATACGTTGGGTCAATCTCGGCGAGGTGCGACAGCAAGAGCTCGACGACGCCGACATGACCGCTCGAGACGGCCAGCGTGAGAGCTGTCGACGCATATTTCGGTTCCTACGTCGGCGTGAGCCACAAACAAAGGACCAAGAAAAGCCAAACCAAAGTCACGGTATATGGCACACCGACGACCGCGTCGACGTCGGCGCCGTGGGCAATGATGGCGTCGACAAGGTCCTCGAGACCCATCTCGGCCGAGAGCATGAGCACGGTTTTGCCATTCTACCGTCGGCATCAACGACAGAGTCATGCCAATTGGAGAGGATGTACGGTGTCGCACAGATCGAGGCGGTCGCGGTGCAAAGGAATCTGTGCTTTCAAGTCGTCGTAGCGCTTGAAGCCCAAGAGAACGTGGAGCGGGTAGGCCTTGCGGCGCGCGTCCTCGGCTTGGACAATGGCCGTGATGGCAGCGGCGGCTTTTGGGTCGTAGCGAATGATACCGAGGTCGACCAAGGTGCTGGCCTCTCCCTACTCTTTGCGTTGGATGCAAGGATCAAAACGAGCTACTCACATTGTAAATGTCGGCGCCAGCAGTGAGAAGGCGCGCCACAATGTCGCTATGGCAGCAGGCAACCGCAAGGTCGAGTGGCCGGTACCGTCCCTAATTTATAGGGCGTCACTCGTGCCTTCCTATGAAAAACGTACGATCTGGGCCAGATTGAGGCCAACGTCCGGGTACAGTGTCAAGAGGCAATCGATGATATCCAAACGCGGCTCGTAAAAGCGCAAGGCACCGTCGCGGCCGACGCCGCTCACACAGAGGTAGTGCAAGACTGCGTTTTCCTACTCACTTCTAGTCGCTCCATGGAGTTCAATATACGACCTACCTTGAAGAGACGGTTGACGTTGCCCGTATACGTACCGTCGCGAATGACAGAGTACAATTCGTCCAATTGCTGTCTGCTTGCGAGCTCTGCGAGGTCGACGTCGGCGTCGCGGCACGGTTGTCGATATACCAGGGGTTGGGTGCGCACCTACGGGCAGTGAGCTGTCGTGGCAGAAGGGGGTCCTACGCCAAAGATGACGCCTCGCGCGAGGAGGCGCTGCACGAGCTCGATAAGCCTGTGGTTGCTATCTCCCTCGTCGCACACGAGGTTGCGACTGAGGTAGTCGAGCGCTGTCCAGTGGCGCTACGCATGGGCATCGTAGTCAAGGCGTCGTGGCCGAAGCGACACTTTGTACATGACACGTCCGAGTAACGTCGACGATGTCGAGGAGCTCTTCGACCAAATCGAGGTTGCCGTGGTAGCATGCCCATAAAAAGCCCGTTCTTCCTTCCTAGCAAAGCACCGTGACCCCATAGTATAGATTGCAAGTGGACCCACGGGGTCTTGGGCGTTGATGTCTGCGATCGCATGCTCGCGCAAAAGCACGCGCACCGTGGACCACGCGGCGCGGCGGCAGGCGCCAGTGAATGGCGTACTGCCTCGCTGCGAGCGCAAATGAGCGCACTCCTGGAACGGAGATGGATAAGAACCTTGGTCATGACGTCCTTGGCGAGCGCCGGCAGCTCCAGCATTCGCTCGACAACCGGGACGAGGTCCAGAATGCAAGCAACATAGAATGCAGTCGAGTCCTACACGATATGCTGCTCCGTGACCTCGTCGTCATCAAGCGCATGGAACCGTTGCACGCCGTCGGTTGATGTCGAGGCGAGGCTGGCCAAGTAGGAGCAGTGCGATCGCAACGTGCTTCGTATCAATCGCAGCCATGAGCGGCCACTGCTCCGAGTCCTACGCAGCCATCGTCAAAGACTGCTCACCGTACAAAGTATCGACTTCAAAGCGTCCATTGTGCGATACATTCACGTCAATCACATCGCCAAACGACGCCAAGAGCATCGAGACGATCTCCGTGGCGCCTGCTTGCACGGCCGACAGGAGTGCCGGCCGCGTGTCCTACAGAAGCGGTCTCAGCGTCGAGATACGTAGGCAAACACGGCTGGTACGTTTGTGGCAGCGTTGATGATCTCGTGGCAGCGCGGATGCGTGCACAAATGACGGACGACAGCGATGGCGTTGGCGGCGCACGCGAGCTGCAGCAGTGTTTCGCCCTACAACGATTTGAAGCGTGCGTCAATATGGTTAGGAGTGTACCGTGGGCGACGTCTCGTGAAGGTCGTAGGCGTCGATGGGCGTTAGCACACCAAGGACATCGTCCCAGGCACCACGCACGGCCCATTCCATCGCGCTCGTCGTCATAGTTGAACTGCAATGTTGGGTTGTGGTAGACACGACCACACATGTTGACAAAAAGGGGTCGAAATCAGATAGCCACGTGTCGACAATATAGACCCCTTTTTGTCGCCAATCAATTTACAGGCGACGTCTCCATCTCCGTTCAACTTCTGAACCGGTATGACGACAAGCGCGATGGAATGGGCCGTGCGTGGTGCCTGGGACGATGTCCTTGGTGTGCTAACGCCCATCGACGCCTACGACCTCCACGAGACGTCGCCCACGGTACACTCCTTGCCAAGTTGACGCACGCTTCAAATCGTTGTAGGGCGAAACACTGCTGCAGCTCGCGTGCGCCGCCAACGCCATCGCCGTCGTCCGTCATTTGTGCACGCATCCGCGCTGCCACGAGATCATCAACGCTGCCACAAACGTACCAGTCGTGTTTTCCTACGTATCTCAACACGGAGACCTCTTCTGTAGGACACGCGGCCGGCACTGCTGTCGGCCGTGCAAGCAGGCGCCACGGAGATCGTCTCGATGCTCTTGGCGTCATTTGGCGATGTGATTGACGTGAATGTCGTCTACTCCGTACAACCATCTCGAGTCTTCAAAGAGCTGATAAGAAGTAGGTCAATGGATCACAGCAGTGGCCACTCAGGGAAGCGATCATCAAGGAGCACACGGAGATTGCGCTGTATTTGCTCGACCATCCGCGCATTGACATCAACCTCGTGAATGAGCATGTTTGGAAGTTTGCTCTTCTTTTAAGGGTCTCGTAATAGTCCTTGTAGGGTTCGACAGCTCTCTTGAGCGCGTGCTGGTACGATTGCCTCGCCGTCGTCGAGCGACTGTTGGCGATGCCAGAAATCGACACGACCATCATGTCCAAGGTCTGAGCTGCGTCTCCCACCAAGTTTCTTGATGCGTTTTAATAGTCGGGCCGCACGCCCTTTACGTGCTCCTGCTGCGATGACAATGTGGCGATTGTTCGCGTGCTTTTGGACCAGAACGCAGTCGCCGACCTCAACGCCCAAGATCATGTTAATCATTTTTTCACATTGGTCAATTTGACCTTGTGTATTAGGCCGGCATGTCGGGCTTCATGTGGCTTTGCGTCCACAACCAAGTCGATCTCATCGAAGAACTCAAAGACGTCGTCGATCTCAACCTCCGATGCAGCGTACGTCGTTACCGCAGTCTTGTGTCGTACAGCGCTTCAGCATTGACGTATAGAAAGGGCTCACGGCCCTCGACTACCTCAGTCGCCACCTCTCGTGCAGTGCAGACAAGGAAAATACTGCACTCTTGACGTTGACGCAAAGGCTTCTTGCTCTCGGTGCCACGTTTGGCGTACGACACGCTACCGTAGCAGTTTAGCTTCTGACGCGCCTTATAGACCCGAGCCCATCCAGTAGCATGTCGCCGAATGTGTCAAGTCGACGAGGTCAACCTTGCAGAACTTGCATGTTACATGCGCTTTGATGCCCTCGATCAAGCCATTCGAGGCGGCGCGTTCACGGGCGACGTCAACCGACTATACAAGGTTGTACTGCTCCACCACGAGTTGTGCCATGACGTCATTCCTTCACCGTAGCAACACACTGCCCTGCAGATCCTCGGCACCGGTTGTGGATTTGTCGCGCCAGAGGACACGTTACTCGAGTATGAGCCCCGACTGGACCTCATCGACAGTCTTCTGACGCAGTACCCGTCCATCAACCTCGAGATCACGCAAACAGTATCTTCCGTTCTCCATTTCAACGAAGGCTTACATCTCACGTAGGGTGGCTACACGGCTCTCGACTTGGCGGTGGCCGGCACCCGTCCAAGCGTCGTGGAGCGTCTTCTGGCAGCAGGCGCGTCGATCGAGCGTGTACGTTCAAGCACACATGACTACCTGCAATTGGGATCTACAACTAGAACGGAGTACCTCTATTATCCTACCTCGAGGCGAATCGAAAGGACCCAACAGCCGCCGCTGCCATCACGGCCATTGTCCAAGCCGAGGACGCGCGCCGCAAGGCCTACCCGCTCCACGTTCTCTTGGGCTTCAAGCGCTACGACGACTTGAAAGCGCAGATTCCTTTGCACCGCGACCGCCTCGATCTGTGCGACACCGTACATCCTCTCCAATTGGCATGACTCTGTCGTTGATGCCGACGGTAGAATGGCAAAACCGTGCTCATGCTCGCGGCCGAGATGGGTCTCGAGGACCTTGTCGACGTCATCATTGCCCATGGCGCCGACGTCGACGCGGTCGTCGGTGTGCCATATACCGTGACTTTGGTTTGGCTTTTCTTGGTCCTTTGTTTGTGGCTCACGCCGACGTAGGAACCGAAATATGCGTCGACAGCTCTCACGCTGGCCGTCTCGAGCGGTCATGTCGGCGTCGTCGAGCTCTTGCTGTCGCACCTCGCCGAGATTGACCCAACGTATCTCGCGACCATGACCGTAGACTCCTGATCTCGTTGCGGATCATCTATCTCTCAACCAATCGCTCTAGTCGTTGGAAGCCTCGCTCACCCCTCGGCAAGCAGCGTGCGTGACGCTGCTTCAAAAAGAAGTCGCGTTCCGGTCGACCTCGGCCGAGTACGTGGCCAAGTGGCGGCTCAAGCTCGAGGCGCTGCCCGACGACGCGCCGTTTGACGAAGCTCTCTTTCGCCGCGCGATCGCCGCCGACCCGTCCCTCGGTCGTCTCTTCCTCAACGACTGTCTCTCGCCGGACCGCCATACGCTTGGCTTT